GTTTCTTTAATCCTTCTAAATTCAAGTGGGAGTTCTCCAGCGTTGCACATAATACTTGCAGTTGGGCTTGTGCGGAAGGCACCTGTGGCTAGTCTAATGCCTTGATTGTGTAYAGGATTTAGTGTATTGASAATTTTGCTTCTGRCCGTATTATAAATGACTGCACCGTATTCCATTTTTGCTAGTATAATTGCTTTATATATAGTAATGAGGCTATTTTTTTCAGAGCCCCAGGAGTAATGAGATAAGGTTTTCATAATTTTCATGTTGTTGTTTGCATTTATTATTAGTGATATTGTGTGAAGTGCTACTGCTACTGACGTATTCATGACGGATTGATAACGGCTAATTATTTCCATTTGAGAAAAGTTTTCTTTATGAACATATTTGTACATATTTCAACCCTGTTGTAACCACATTGTGCATAGGATTTACGACATCTGCATCATATTGTGTTTTATTATTATTTCAAATTTACGAGATTCCAAGTATTTATCGAGTTTTCAAAAATAATGTAGTTGTGAAGTAAAATTGAGATAAATAATTTAAATACATTTTGTTTAAACTCAACACTATAAAATTAGTTAGGTATCGTATGTTGTATACTCGTATACTGGACGACTACATTAATGGTATTTTTTTTAACAGCATGATTAGTATGTTATAATCATGTTTATATAAATACAACTGGTATAAGATATATTCAAGTGCCATTTTATACTATAGATTTTGATAACAAGAATGGTTAGATTATTTAATTTTTTAATTCATAGTTTTCAATTTTAGCAAAATAAGTTTTAAGTCATAAACAAAAATAAATCAACCTGCTTGTAGTTAATTTTTTTCAATTGAGCCAATTATTTCAAAACTACAACCAACAATTAAATATTATATAGATAATTTTAATTTTTAAATATTCGTTCACGAAACGGATAATTTGATAGGTAGTGCTTTGAACGTTTATTCTATCTTAGCCTTGATGAAAAGTGAGTGTTATTTTCCATTTTAGTAATAACTAATATTATGTTCTATTTTGAATTCAGTAGGTAATTACTACCTATTTACTAATTATTAACTATCTACTGAATCTATTTTGTTGACGTGTTTTATAATATTACGATTTCTTCAAATAACCTGCGTGATGCGTGTTATTTTTAACATTTTATTATACTTTAATTTTTGTATAAATTATTAAAAATACATATTATATGTAAAATATACTTATTTTATCTGTCTATGATATGCATGTAATATGTCCTAGAATCTTTAAAGTAGCAAACAATATAGTTTTTAAACAAAACATGTTTATGACATAAAATATTGTATATTCTAAAGAGCTTGACAACCATTCTGATTCTGACACCATTATGCGTTCATCCAAAATACCAAGACCCATGAGAACCGCTTCTTGATTTCTATTGTTTGTTAATGCTATTTATTGTTTCTTATTATGGGACGTGATTTATGAAAATATATATTTGTGACACTTTTGTGACCAATTAACCATTGTTTTTTTTTTTTTTTTTGTTCATTTTAGGGACATTTCCTCTGTGATATTAAAAATAGGACTGCATGAAGATTGTGAAATTCATAAGCAGGTATTAGCTGTCCGTGAGACAAAAGACGGCTGGTTCGATTTGTGTTCACCAATTGAAGCTGTGTTCTGTGGAAGTTCAATTGTTTGGACTCAATTGGTATGTTTCAAAATTATGTATTGATTTGCGTTGTATAACAGCGCAAAGTGTAAACCATACAAAACACACGATTTATAAATTTCACAAAACTCTAATTTTGTAGTGACGTAGTCAGTATATTAAGAATACATTGAAGTGGTTTTAAGATTTTTAAAAGTATAATATTACATTATGGTCGACATCAGATTGACTTACAGTATAGAGTACGATATAGAGGGAACACTTTTTTAGCTCCATAACTCTCTAAGAGTATTCGCTTTCACCGTCATCTACTACTATACTTCCCTATCATGCAAAGTTCCACTCCAATAATAAAATTCTGTCCTAAAATCCTGATTTATCCCGTCAAATTATCTCTTCCTTTGTCTATCTTCCGGTCTTTTTGCATCTGTCACCACAGTCGTTGTTTTGACTCGGAAATTTTAAAAATGTATAAATATCATCTAACATCTTGTTAATAATTTTTTGTTAGATTAAGGCATCTAGTAAATAAATATTGCGTATTCTACTATTTATCTAAGCATATAATATACATCATATATGTTATAATTAGCTTAAAACGTTGATGGCTTGCGAGCGCTGTAAAAAAAAGAAACTCTTGAAAAATTTGAAAGCCAAGCATTTGGGAACGTGCGTTTCGGAAGCGTTAAAAAACAACAAAATCGTGATGGATGTCTTGTGCTTAATGCTTGAGTGGATGGTCGTGGAAGATTTGCATCAAAGAAATCAGATTGTCGATACACTAAAGTCTACAGAATTTGGCAGAAAAGTATACGATGAGTTTATGTCAAGGCAGAATCAACTACTTGAATTGGTAAGATAAATATAATATAGGTATTAGGTACAATTATTGAATCTTTATAATGTGTACACTATACTGTTTGAATGCCTTGACTTATGTCAAGATCCCTAATAAGTTGTACACGAATTTTAAGAAGCATTCGATCCTATTGACGAATAATATTTATGGTTTAAGTTTAATTTTCAAATCGTATGGCATTATACGACCTACGTTTTATAAGTTATAACTTATAAGACGCGAGATGATGGATACTCGTATATATATATATATATGAAAATATTATTTAAGACTTTAAAATAATCATTTGGGTGGGAAAGTGGACAGTGCTAACAAAAGTCGCGAGTAGGTCATAAACTCATAACTCTTTAGTATAAGAATCTGAGTCCCTGTTCCCTCATGACGATAATTTTTTAATCTGAAATTTAGGCATTATATTATTATGTAATAATATACATCTAATTTGTGTACAATTATATTGTTCTAAGAATTTAATCATATTGAAAATTAAATACATCTAACTCGATTTATTCAGGGTGATTTTATACTTTATATTTTTAAAACAAGATTTTAGAAATCTGACTTTTTTACCTGCGGTGTTCTAATAACCATATAGTATTAATTTCATTTACAGCAACGAAAAGGAGGCCCTCAAAACTTATCATTGCCGGCCCGAGGCACTGATTTGGACCTGAATTCCATGTTTGATTGTGGCCCTTTTGGTAATTTAGAGTCGGTCGACTTGGCTTTTACCAATGTTACAGATACTTGTGCCAATACGTTGATTAAATTACCATCTTTAAAAGTTCTTAATTTGTGGGGTACTCAGGTATGTATATGCTTCTCAAAAATGTTTTTTGAAACAAGTAAAAATATAAATAGTATAAATAAAAATAAAATTATTTTAGTTTGGTGATTCCGGGCTATTAATCATATCGGATCATCTGACCAACTTGCAAGTTTTGAATTTGTGTGAGACCAAAGTTACCGACAGGGGAATTGTATCGCTCATAAGTAAGACACGTGTCTAATATTTGTTTATTTTTTTGTTTTAACGAGCAATTTCTAAACAAACCCGATTTTTGCAGGTCTCATCAATTTGAAAAAACTTAATTTAAATAGTACTAAAGCAACGGTTCGATCCGTGGACGTATTGAAAAAAAAACTACCAGGCTTACACGAAGTAGACGTCAGATACTCATTTGCCTGGTAAAATGTATTTTTTTTTGTTATGATATATATTATTATAATGTGTTCAACATAAAATGATTTTTATAATTTTTTTATTTTTGTTGACAATCTGCCTGATAAACATGCAACTATAATAATATAATAAAAAAAATAATATTAATATATTTAATATTATTATATAACTGTTTTACTCTTTGAGTATAAAAAGACTGTGGCCCTGATTATATATATATGAACATATATATATACCATTATACTTTTACCTTTGTTTATAATAATGTTATCAAATAAGTAAATTAAATTTAAGGCGATGAATAATAATCGTTCATTTAATATTCTGTTAATAATAATTAAGTAAATAATGCTTAAGTGACATCGCATTTGAGATACGATATCACAACGTTATATTATCTATAGTCGTGCCTTTTTTCATTAAATTGCTAATTATATAGCGTATAAGTATATAATATTATTATATTACTCGTATCAAATTTTACTTATAGAAACGCTCAAAGAATTTCAATTTCTATTACGATTTTATTCTATTCTTAGATAGTCGAATATTATGTTATGATATTTGTTTAAACATTTTTTTTAATCAACTTTTTTATCGTACAATATTCGTATACATGTGTAATGAGTAATGACGAATTTCGACGAACAAAACACTTTCACAGCGGGTTGTTTGTATTTAGATTCCGTTTTTTACGTACCATATGTATTATATTGAAACTAATATACACGGAATAATAATTATGTGTATATTAAAATAATACGACATTTTTACACTAAAGGGTACGAACTGTGAGGGTAAAGAATAACTAAAACGTTTACATCAGGTAAATTGATTAATACCTGTGTCATAAAATGTAAGTACTTAGCTAAAATATTATAACTTAACTACAGTATAATATAAATAATATTATATTATAACCATTATTATTATTTTTTTTTTTTATTATTGTTGTTATTATTATTATTATCGTTAAAATTATTATTATTATTATCTGCTATATTGAAGCATAAAATATTTTACATATATAATTCGTAGAACTCACGTACATTATTATGTTGAAATAACTTGTATCATGTAAAATCTACGATTAATCTCTATATAGTGCTAAACTAATTAGTACATATCGCTATGTTGTTTTTCTTCTTAAATGTATACTTTTTTTGTATCATCCTCAACGAATATAGTATATAAGTGTAACATTCAACATTAATTTATATAAATCTTATAACAATATAAAAAAAAAAAAAATACATCTATAAATGATTTTGAAATTATTTTGTTCACATTTATTTCGGTTATATTTTTAACCAACGTGTTTTTATTTTATTGAGTTATGTTTATAGATCCATGTTAAATTTTTTAAATGAATAATATTTCAACAATAAGTTGGGCCAGTTGGSGGCAAATTGTGTTAAGTGTATCGTATACGTACGTCCTACATATCACATATGCGGTAGAAGTCGTATAAATGTTTACTATAGGAATGACAACTATAAATGCATAAACAAAATTATCCCGTGACGCATTTTACCTCTTTTCTTTTAATAATTTAAAAATTATTATTTTTCAAATTTAATTATTTAACTAACCGACAAAAAAACAAATATATTTTCCAGCCAATTTTAAAATAGTGATTTGGCACAAATGCATTGATTTTCGTTTTTATACAATAATATTATGTTGATTGATTCAAATAATATTTCTACATAAATACATTATTTTACGATTTCTGCTTTTTTATCAATATTTATGTACAGGTAATATGTGTAATTTGAATTCTAATTCATTGTACGTTTTTGTTTGTGTCATTATTATATGTATCACTTGAATAAGTATAATATAATATATTATACTCCATTATTAAGTATAACATGAACGCCAAGGGTATATAATTACTTTTCTTTTACACAGATACGAGGGTCTTTCAATGCATGAATATTAAAGCAAAACTTTTGTTGCAAAGAAACCTTTGTGATTTTGATAGTCAATTATTTTCTTTGCACGCTATAATAATATAATGAATTATATTGCCCATATATTAAAAAATTATTAAATTGGTGTTCTTGAACTTTTCAAAATTGAAGACTATCATATTATTATGTATTTATATTTATAAAAAAAAACTAGTTAAACGGGTTCATTTCAAAACTAACTTGATTTAGATAATATTTAATAATAATATTATTATACTTTTATTMTATTAAAAATCAAAAACTATTTTCGTTTAAATTTAGTATCATCGTTATTATGGAGCAAAAGGCTTGCAGTATGGTATATACTATAATAATATGCTAAGTGTATACTATGTGTACCTACTACCTATGTGTCTAATTACTATTAGGTGTATTATTTACTTTTAATATGATATGATTACAAAAATAAAATATTGGTAGGTATGGTTTTTTTGCATGCTATATATTAAAAAATGAAATGAATAGTTTTTAACTGTATAAAATGCAATTGATTACAATCCATCGTATTTAAAATTAGTAATAATTTATAAACAGCATTTCAGAGGATTAAAAATAAAAATATACATAAACATTTTCAATTTAGATAACATTATGATACGTTTTTAAAAACATAATATGATAATACAATTTTTGTTTCGAAGTCAAAAAACTTCAAACTCCTCATAAGTTATTCATAGAGTAAGTAGTTAACATATTTGCACATTATTTTTTTAACAAGCGTTCAATTCAATTCACCCAAAAGTTCTTCAATTATATGGAAGTTGGAAATTCATAAGATTTTTAATTTTAATGTCTTAAATCTTGACAATTTAAAACAAGATTCTTCATATTTTTTTCTTTAGAAATTTAGAAATATAATACAAAAATATCTTAAAAATTTAAAAAATATTTGTTGTTAAACTTAAAAATTTTCACCTTTATGTACTTATATTTATATATCATTTTCTATGCATAATGAATTAAAACAATATATTTAGACTGATTTTATGCTATGTACACCACGAAACTATTCACTCTATTCCATAGTACGTTGGAATTTATATGAAGTTAGTTACAATGATTAAAAATATAGTGTTATATATTTTTAATAACCAATATACACAATATTTTTGTCTATGATAAGATCAACCTACCATTATATCACTATTAAAAAATAAATTACAAATAATATGCAATATAAAATATTTTTATAAATAGAGGTTGACACATTTTCTCCGCGGCTAAAAATCAGTTTTCGTATATAAATAATAAATGTATATAATTTAATTCAAAATTAACATTTCCATTTCAGCGACCTATTAAACAATGAGGTACACTAAAAATCGTCTTTACATCAGTGCGAGTTCGCAAATTTGTTGATAATTTTTATATAATGACTCGTAGTTACTGTGTATATTCAATTTCGTCTATGGTATTTATGTAAACAAAGAATTACTGGGATATATGTTAACGATGGTTTATTTTAACTGAAAGTCAATTGCATGCACACGCAATAAATATATGTATGTAATAAATCACTGATTCATCGGAACAACTTAGTTGTGGATTGCAGAGGCTGAGACTAAATCTTCAAAACATTTATCTTGACTGAACAGTTATTCGTATGATTATATTTTGATCGTCAGTAAATTCTTTGAATCGTGGTATTCATCCGGTCCACAACAGGTCGCCTCCTCACCGAAGGTCATTTATAGGCTTATAGCTGCATTCCGTGTATAACAATACTTTGACTGGCAACAAATCACCAAGTTCTGGTCAGACAAAAAGGAACAAGAAAAATTTAAAATTTAAATCTTTAGCTTTACCATCAATTGAAGCCACGACATATATTTTGGTTGGGTAGTGGTAATGCCCTACTAGTAATATTAAAGTAATTTAGGTCTATACGAAAAGCTTAAGTTTTGAATTCAAAATATTGAACTGTTAATTGACAAAAAATAAAACGACAAACGTAAGTATTTATATCAAATTTATTACAATATTATGTTAATTATTTGTCTATTTCAGCGGTGGTGCCAGATTGTATACCTGGTAGAGCCGACTTGAGGCACATAATTATTATATTTATTTAGTATGATACCTATAATTATTAACTACTCTTATTATGGTATTGCACTAAGGTTTGAAATCTTTGCTCCACATTTCTACGTCAAGTATAGGTACCATAAACTATCTGCATAGGTACACAATAAAATAAAATAATATTGAGTCTCTTTGTACTGCATATACTAATAAGAGACAACGAAAAATATTTTATAAAAAGAATCAGATCGTTTGATGTAAATTTGAACATTTTCAATTTTTATAGAATATTAGGGAGGGCCAGTGAAAGGGCCTGAGATTTTTCAGGAAGAGCTCACCCTTGCGCCACTACTGTTTTATTTATTAAGTATATACTTTTTTATTATAAATTGACATATGTGTGTAATACGTTATTGTKTTGTTAATAATTATACACAGTAAATATTTAATTAAAAACAAATAATAATGATTATACATAATGACAACTCTGAGTATTTTACATAATTTATTGGTCTAAATAAATGATAATTTTATTACTATTATAATTTTTTCATAAACAAACAGTCATCGGAATTTGTGGCCATTGGATGTAACAATATACTTAGATTTGTTATACATTAAATAAATACTAAAACTGATAATTAATTTCTTAGACGATAACTTTAGTGTGAACTAATTTTCAACATGAAATTAATTGAGTTGTTACTATTATTAAACTTATTTACAACGTTTTTGAATCACTCTGTATGTACGTAAATAGTTTTCTTATCATGGTTTATGAATAAAACCATTTTCACTTTATAAACAGATTGCAATACGATTACAAATATGCATTATTGTTATTTTGCTATTTATCCTATACTTAAATTGTACAGAATATTCATCTTGTACAGTCGTATATACAATGTGATCTCTATGTATACCTAATATACCACGGTATCTATACTTACCGATTTGTCACACGGGTTTATATATCAAAAGCCAAATTTACGATCGAGACGTATCAAACCCAAATAATCGAGCTGTATTTGTGACTAAATTATTATATTGAGGTCTCGGTCCACTGAAATATAGGCATTGTATAGTGTTCGATTTCCTTCATTCGTATTGTACATTCTATCATACTATATTATACGTATATTATCTATGAATTTCCGATACAACAATGGTAAGGGCCCGTCATATAAACGGTAGGTATAAAAATAATAAATATATATGAATATTATAAATCTGCAATGACATCTTCAAAATATGTGTCATCAAAGCGTGTAAATATTATAACGGCATTTGGTTTGGTTGTATTTACAGATATGTCCAACGTCCAACTACTATTGTATTATATTATTGTACAGGTTGTATCGCTGGAGTATTAATAGTATAGTAGGCATCTTAGATTAAACAACTGAATTCGATCCGATTTATTTTTGATTTATGAACAGCAAACATTTTTTTTTCGAATTCTTTTGTGTCACATGTGTTTAATAATAATCATAACTATATTGTCAGTTTAATTTTTAAATGGAATTTCTTTTTAATCATAAAGTTATACATTTTGTGCATGTAGGTAGTAAAATCGGATTAAATTATGACCTAATTTCAATATTTTTAAAAATTTTAAMTTATTTTTTAACTTGAAGAAATGACATTTTAATTCCGGGGATAGGTTAACTAATATTTTAAATGTTTTAATAATTTTTTGGCGACCGTGACCTGTGTACAGCACGCACGTAATATTGAATGATGACTCATAGTTCGCTATAAAAATAGTATATTGATACTTTCTTAATTATGTAATTTTGAATGATTTGATTTCCTTTTGAACAGGATGTATTACTGTCATTAAAAGAGTTAATATTTTATAATTAAAACATAATAAATAACCTTTGTCTTAGGAATATCAGCTAATTATTATGTTGATCCCAATTAAGTTGTAATTTTAGAGAAATTGAGATTTTGATTTTTAAAACCCAAATTGTTATTAACATTTTGTAATAAATTAAAATCGAAATGAAAAATAATAATATACCTAACGGACTTTGAAGCAAATCTAGAAATAATAAAAATGTTTATCACATAATGTAAGTAGTTTAGGTAATGTGTATATATAACCACTTACCAGCATTGATGATAGGAAATAACTAATTTTCTTCCAAGGGACACGTTAGCTAATAATAAAAATTTGCATCAAACACTAAATCAAAGTAACAACTATTTGCCTAATCATTCTTGATAGTGACTAACAATCATTATTTATCGGTAACATACATTTACAAATTAAAAATTTTTATCATTATTTCTATATAATATATTTGTATGGTAGCGTGACAAAATTATTCAACATTTAATATAAAATAAGTATTGATGTACACACAATTAATATCAAAATTTTGTAATGATAGTATAATAATTGAAAACCTGATATTAATAACAACATGATGTATTTTGCCATGTCGACTATAATAGTTATTATATCGTCACCTAAATATTTTTTAAGTAAATCTATTTATTCATTTGTATTTTTTATATATACCTACATATATATTTGTTTTTACAATGTTTTATTCAATATTCAATCTGTTGCAAAATCGAACAATAAGAACAAGTGAGAAGGTAATATATATATATATATATATATATATATATATATGTATACCTATATAAAAATGACAAAATTATGGTTGACATAAACGAAGTACAAGATGTTACCGAAGTCCGAGATCTATTTGGTTGTCATAGTCAAGTCAATACAGGCGAAGGGTATTGTTTTAATAAATTGTTCATATTAAATATAATGTACCTACATAATTTTATGTTAAATAAATTTTTATTTTTTTATTATTTTTTTTTCATCATTTAAATATATTCAATCTGCAGTCTACAATAAAAACAATAAATAATAAGACTTTTTATTCTAAAAGAATTTTTAAAAACACACATTTGGTCTGATGACGACTGGCCACGACAATATAATATGCAAACAATTGCCTTGATGATCCTCAGCCATTTAGTTTACAGTATTATTTTCTATCGGTTAACCTTAAGAAAACTATAATTGACTATCACCGGTCATTTTCTAAACATAAATCGTATTCACCTGTTTATTCCATATAGATCGAACCGTATTTTGGGTTGTCGCGTTTTCCGTGAATGACACTTATTAATAATATATATGTGTGTATTTAATATAAATAATAAGGGTTTTATTAATTATTTTTTTTTAGTAACTGAACTTTGTAAAGTAGCACTTATTTCGGGAAATTGGTTCATTTTTTAATTGTTTCTGATTAAAAATTATCACAATTAAATCTACAACTAGTTTGGATAGTAATTTCCGATTCATTTATGTTAATTTTGTATCCACAACCAGGCTATACCATTATAAGTCAATTAATTCTTGGAAATTTTACTGCAAAATTAAAATTATTAATTTATATTATATTAGAAAATACATTAACAAATCATTTGGCATTTACATTTTTGTATTACTAAAAGAGTAGGTATATGCAGTAACTGGTAAGTAAAATATTATATTGTAAATATATAAAATAAGTTATACATTGTAGTATTGTACACCCTTGTGTGTTGTGAGGTCAATAACATTTGATTCGCACCTGTCTTAATAGACAAATAAAAAAACTCTCTTTGATAAAGTCATATATATAGACAGCTAGGTCTGAGTGTCTGGCGATTTTCAATTATACTCGATAATTGTGTTGACATTCTGAAGAACTCAAGTGAAAAAAACTAAATGTTTCCCTATTAATTAATTTATTATATACTTTAAAACTATTTTCGTGTCGATATACACCAATTTTTATAGTCAACTATACTATAACCGATACGTATATTAAACTAAATTTATTATCATCAATTTTATAAATACTAAATAAATGCATTAAGAAATTTCATAGAATAGGTATAACTAATTCATTATATAAAATGTATAATAATTGCTTTTTGTATATTTGCGTACTCACCAATGACGCAGACACATCCATAATATACCTATTATATATAATATATATATATATATATTATATACAATATTATATAAATGAATATTAAGTCTGTGCGTTATTTTTTTTTTATGAGGGAGTGTGAGAGAGGAGTATTTATCAGTTAGTATATTGCTGTAACCATCATCTGCCGGACGGTCTATGGATAGGATAGACTACTGCTGTCGGTGTGTAGTTGGGTAACGGAGGGGAAAACCGTTTCGAGTTTCACATCACCGCGGCGCACGCAGTGTCAGTGACTTCAATGCCCGGCTCAGTTTCTGGCTGTCTTTCTATGATGGTATATCGCGTTTGCATTTAACTTTCCGTTATCCGCTCAGTAACATTTCTGGGATTTTTGATTTAAACACGTTTTTTATTTTAACAAAAATAACAACAACAAATATAAGTTCGGCCGACTGGCCCAGTTACTTTTTTACTCGCACGGTTCTTTCGTTAATATTGTTTCTCATTTGTGTACCGAAAAATTAATAATTCTAATACTATAATATTGTTTTTAAATTTTAGTGTTGTGTATGTGTATGTGTGAGTGCGCTATACGATAAACGTATTATATATCTAAAAATATACGTACATAAAACGTGGCTGTCGGTGTGATCGACACAAACATGTGATTTTAGTTGTAACGTTACTACAAGACGATGTGGAGAAGTAATTTCAAAATAACCATGCAACTGCTGCTTGTTATCACCATTATTGGTAAATACTTTTTTAAATCATATTTTATCGAAATTTATATATCTGGATTTTACTTCATAACTGTATAAAATCTGTTATGCTTTAACTGTTTTTATCGGGGATGTTTGTTTTTAAAAATTAAGAATATATAAAATCGAAACATTATATTTTCAAAAAATGATATTGATACATGGACAATAGAAGTAAGAATATTATAGGTATTCTATAATAAGTTATTATAGATATTTGTGCACAAGAAGATATTAAAATCGTAATTGGAATTTCGGAAAATGGGAGATAATAATGATGCTATATACATATAGGGTGATATTATACTGATATTCATGTAGATATACAATATTCAATTAAACATTTACATACATAGGTTGTAGATAAGACGTACTAAAGTTTCTTAATCAAGTTTTTCTTTTATGCAACGAACAGTGACTATGTTATTTTTATCACACAAAATCAAAACGAAAGCGAAGGAAAAACAATATTATTAGTCAGGCTAGACGACGCAGGTGCATATAATATAATATGTCAAATTATTGTATGTATCATTATAGTATACTGTTTTTTATGAACTTTTATGTGTATGATATAAATTATACGGTGGACGAAATTGATTAAGCGCGGTGACGGAGAAACCGATTTATAATCAGCGATTTGGACCTACGTTACATAACAATGTACCTACGTGGTGAATTTAACAGCCATGCGATAATAATATAATATAATATGTAATATAGTTTATCATGACTTTGTACAGTTACTGCACGAGAAAATCGATACTTATATTTTTCACTATAATAACTCGGCAACTCGCGTGTTTATTGGGCGACCGAGCATCCTGTATTATATACAATATACTTAACCACCTATGTTATAGTTACGGTTGTAAGGATATTATATATGTAACGACGTAAACGGTTCGTTTAACGACACAGACACAGATTCGCGGAAGCACATATATATATCCCGTCTCGGTGGTTGGGTTTCTTTAAATCTGCGTGAGCGTGTGTGTGTGTGTGAAACAGAAAAAAAATTACAGGCCGATAGTGATGAGGAGACGTGTCAACGAACGCGCAGAGAATTTTTATGAAAAACTTGACGACGACAGCGGCAGGCTGCAGAACAGCAGAATCCGGTACATCGGGGTTTCCGGTGTTTTACTTCGGTCAAAACGCCAATGGCCGTCGCTTACACCGCCGACGATGGTCGTTCGTACGTGTATAATAATAATATTATTTATTACCAAAAGGACCGTGACCCGCGTTCGCCGTCGCCGTATCTTTTGTTCTCTATGACACGAGAGAAAGTGAATTCTGCCGGGTATAATACTATAATAATAATATATATATTATACGATCGTCATCAAAATTTCCATGTGCTCATACGGAACTCTCCRGGAGCGGGGTTTGTACGTAGGTATTTGTCTTAATACGATTTCGACGGTTACGTAACGTCCTTCGAGCGACYGAGTGCTGCCGTCTAGAACGGACTGCCTTCTCCGTCATTCGGTCGAGGTCTTGTGGCTGTTTATGTTATATTATAATATATATACAAATCGTATGCACGTGAAATTTGAACATAAGATGACGTGTAATAAATGAGAACGAGAGTATCGTTTTCGTCGAATGATTTTATTATTACAATAATGATATTTTTTAAAGAATTGAGAAAACCGTCAGAATTAATTGTCTTTTATTTTTACTTTAACCTAGTTATTTTATCATATTCGGAAGTAGTATTTGCAGTCARAATGTATACAAGTTAGTTTTATCTATACTTGCCTGATAGTCGTGGAATTGGTTGTGAGTTGGGAAATTTAACTGAATAGTATCCAATCAACCGCGTGATTTCAAGTGTCCAAATGAAAAATATACATCCTGAAAATGTCAGAAAGATTCGCTCACTTATTACTTTTTGTACTTAATTGATAACAAATATTGAAATATATATCTATAACAACAGGCTTGTATCAGGTAAATAATGGCTGAATTAAGATAACATAAGTATCGTGATTTTTACAATTTCGCGTGCTGTTGTAATATTAATATACCATRGACCGTCGACAGGACTACGGAACAATATTTTTCAGTCTATATATTAATATGTATATAACCTTAAAAGATTATGTATATACCTAAAGTATCGACCGAAAACTGACATATATTATGTATTTATATGAATATGGATTGGCCAACGTGTATATAACATAATAATAACTGGGCGTTATATTATTTGTAATATGTTCGCGGTAATCAATCGCGAAATCGATGTAATTATGTACGATACTATACATTTTGTAGAAAAAAATCATTTGATTAATTATTCCGGCAAAAAATCGATCTCTTGGTATTAATATGGACAAAAAATAACCAAAAAAAGAATAGACTAAAATAAAATTATAAACATAAAGTGAGTTTATAATGATAAGTAAATATTGGTTGTAATACATATTATGCACACCATATTATAATTATGTTCTATTAAATATTTTGAATAAGTATAAGTAAAAAAAATATATTATAAAATAATGTTATTTTATAGGTATGCAAAAATACCGTGGAAATTCAATCAATAAAAATGTATACTAACAGTTAAAAATTCTTTTAAAATATCAATAGGTAAATAGAATAATTTATTAATTTTTGAATAATGTTAAAACGTTAAACTATGTTGTCTTTGATCTAAGCTAAAAACTTTTAGAAATGTATGCGTACATCAGAAGAAGTTTAATCCATCTAAAAGTATATACATATATTTTCATTGATAACTGTATCCTTGTATTGTTTTAGGATCTATACTAAGTAATTACTATAATTATATTTCAGCGTTTTCGTACAGTAATTCAACTAAATAGCAACCATCACTGAATAGTATTGCAATCAGTTTTTTTTACTTCACGAGTTAAAATACAGTTATCCGTAGTCACCACAAAGTTTTTTTTAGAGTATACTTACTAATTAATTCAGTAAACGTTTATATTTTCGTCCATTGACCTTTTAATGACAAATCAACCGTCATATTCAATAGTTTTTTTTATTTATAGTTAAAAATAGATAGGTATAGTAAGTACATAATAAATATTTAAAAATAAAAATACGTAAGTAATAATCAATAAGTATACGCATTTTACTTATCAATGTATTACATCCTATTTTCGAAAAATTACCACATATTAGGTGTATTTAACACGAGAACATTTAAAAGTGCGTTGTAATTGATTAGAACAAAATTCTATAATTAGGTAATTTACACAGAATACATAATATTGGTTTGGTTGATATATTATTTTAATCATATATATTTATTCTTTATTTACGAGGCAAACTGTACACAGGAGTCAGGAATATCAACATGATGAACATTTTTGTATAATACATGCATTATTATTCCATTCATAATCATTTTACAATACTTGTAATTTTTTTTTTTACAAATGGAATTGCAGGGTACCTGCATAATGATATGTGACTTATTTTTAAAATAACCATGAATAAAATTTCAATGAAAATCCTCGTGTTTTTCTTTTTCTGTTGTGTGCATATWTTTCGGTATTCAAATGTGTGTGTATGTGTGCGTRTATGTGAATAGTATCTTGTTGGATTGTACATATAGAAGCTGCAGTATCTATATATGTTTATTTCCAATAGATAAATATCATTATTATTTATTCGTTAGTTATACTAAATATAATATGTGGTATACTAGTATCAAACTATACAATACTTTTTATTCGTTTTCTATACCTATGATATATAGTGATTAAATAGAATTATTTTTAAGCGGAACAATATAGACGGACTATGTCGAAATTCACCGTGAAACGGCTTAATGGTAACCGAAATAAAAAAATTCGACTTTCATCCTCATTTCAATAAACAACAAGAATATTATAGGAAAAATAATAGTGTTCCGTCCATCGTAATTAGATTTTATAGTGCGCAACATCGACCAAGTGCACCAGTCTCCCTGGTAATGTATATTATTATTATTATTATATATAAATAAATAGTCCAGTCATAAATCTATGCACTTGTCACGCATAATAAATAAATATATACACTATATTATAGGTAGAAAGAGGAATTTATGACTTTTAGCATACTTTCTTTTCCCCTGCTATACGCAGCTTGGTGTTGTGTTCATAAGTTATACCGGTAAACAATAGTCGTCCAACCGTACACCGTAGTAAAAAGTGAGAAAAACATCAAAAAATTTAACGACTAATTATGTTACCATAAGTATGTATGTTAGTGGTTTCGCCAGATTCGACAGAATAGGTTTTAAGGGCACTCGTCTCGGCCTGCATTCCCTCAATATTATTTTTCAAMATCTTCAGATTATAGAATAGAATATTTCTGATGTCGGTAGCCCGCAATACTATATTATTCACCTAGTAATTTAAACACGCACTGAGACCAGATGCAAAAGACATAATGTCGCCTGGAACCGACTCCGAGTGGCGGCAATAATAATATTTAAAATATATGAACTACAATGGCCAACACGAAACAGTTGCGGGACTGTCACCACATACCACAGAAAAGTATAATTTAATATTATCATCACGACGGGCGCAACTGTATAACGGCGATGGTCGAGCACTCGCGATCTTATATAATATTATATATATTTTATCGTATGATATTCGTGTATACCGATATCCGGCCGCATATTATATTATTATACCGACACGGTTCGTGCAAGAATAATCGCTTCCGCCGCGTGCGCATAAAAATATAAATATTTAGCCGGCAACAATATGGGTTGCCTACACCACTCTGGACACAGACCGATCGTTAGATATTTTCCACCATAAAGRGAAGATTTCRATGTCACACTTCATTACCGATATTCATTTAATTTTACCGTCTTCAATTTCTATAGGTACATGTGTTTGCCGCCCTAAAGCAACGCACTACTTGGTTGTTTCGTATAATAGCGACATGCCAGCTTACTTATGTACCTATATACATTGTGCGATGTCTAAAACTGCAAGGTGTATACAT